ATGTGGCTGGCAAGTCAAAGGAAGCTGATAAAAACCATGGGGAAGATTCTCCAGAGGGACAGAAAGCCGCTTGGTAGCACAGAAGGGCCACTCCCATCCTGACCAGACTGCAGAATGGCAGCGGGAGATGGTGCCCTTCCCATCAGGGGGACGAGGCAAATGACCAGAGTCAGCAACATCAGAACCGTTTTTAAGGAAAGGCTCGCGTCTGTATCCTAGTCACCAAATTACTCAGTTAACTAGATCATCAGATAATTTTGTTCCGTTAAGTTACACTCAGTACATTGTGCTTAAAAAGGCGAAGAACTGTATAGTTCTTAGAATTATTCCTTTTTTTCTTTTTAACCGGTGACATTTAAATTCAGACAGTGGTCTTTTCATGCGCTCTGAGGCGCGGCACTGTGCGAGGCACTCCTGACTTTGTTCTAGAACTACTTTCCCGTCTCTCTTTCTTCTACTAGCCACCCAATTCAAGAACATGTCATCCTTCCCTCCTCCCCACCTCAGGCCCAGCACAGTGCCATGCTACAGAGCACATGAAAAAATCCCCTTCAGAACTTACATGAGCCCTGGTGGTGGAATGGTTAAGCATTCGGCTGCTAACTGAAAGGCTGGTGGTTCAAACCCACCCAGCAGCTCCATGGGAGAAAGACCTGGGGATCTGCTTCTGTAGAGATTATCGTTGCTGTTGTCGAGTGCCATCGAGTTGGTTTCCACTCCTAGTGACCCTACAGGACAGAGCAGAACCGCCCCATAGGGTTTACAAGGAGCGACTGGTGGACTTAACTGCTGACCTTTTGGCTGCAGCTGAGCTCTTAACCACTACACCACCATGGTTAAGAGTTCGGCTGCTAATCAAATGGTCCGCAGTTCAAATCCACCAGCTGCTCCTTGGAAACCCTATGGGGCAGTTCTACTCTGTCCTACAGGGTTGCTATGAGTTGGAATCGACTCAGTGGCAATGGGTTTAAAGGGCTACAAGCTATCAAGGGAAAGGGTATCTTTCTCTCTGAGAATCAATGATGTGTCCACATGAGAAGCACAAGCCAGCTACAGTCTTGTTTTCTATTTAAATGTGTTTGTGAAGCTACATTTTCAGCAAAAGTCATAAACCGGTCAGTGATATCATTTCTGCAGACTTATCCTTAGGACAGTCTTCCAAAGATGTAAAAGGATACATGTACAAAAATGTCACCACAACACTTGTTTATAACTGCAAAAAGTAAAAGGCGGGAAGAGAAAACAGAAAAAAGACAGAGACACAGGGGAACGGTTAAATATATTCTGCTTTATCACCTTAAAAATGAAATATGAAAAATATGAAGACTGTAAAATATAACAAGGAAAACGGTTTCTGACATACTAACTTTTAAAGGCAGGTATCAGAATTGCAGGGACACTACGTTCACCCCTATAATTTAGATGGATGGATGAAATCTAAAGATAGATCGGGAGGCAAACAGAAAACACAGACATAAAAATAGTTGTTAAGGGGTTAAAAAAATTATGTGTCCCATCTCATTTTCAAATTGCATTTGATGTTCTTTTAGTAATAGTTTAGCAATAAATACATGTATTTTCAAAGCCCCATTCTAAACAACGCTCTCTCTGTAAATCTCTAATCCCTGAAAAGAAGGCAGAGCTATGAGAAGCAGTATAATATCTAATCCCATGAATGTGACGGTTTTCAAGGAATCAGTTGATAAAGAGAAATATCAGGAGAAAAGTTCTGAGAGGCTGCTGTGTGGGGAGAAGAGAAAACTACTCACGTACCCAGCAGGAAAAAAACCCGAATTCCTGAGAACTCCTGGGTTGGGAGACCACAGTCGCTCCCTACTCAGCCTCTGCCAAGTCACAGGGAAGAGAAAGGGGGAACGTTCTAAGGAACCGGAGCTAATACCCCTCCTGGGGATGACTGCAACACTAAGCAGGGAAGGGGGTGAGAAAACAGTAAACACTTGAGAAGAACTAAGCATGAGCCAGAAGCTGTTGGCCCCAAGAAAGGGCCAAAGACAAGCCTAAGCCCTGGAGGGAAAACAAGGAGAAAATCAAAGCTCAGTTCTATCAAGGTGCCTTTGTTGTTTTTGTTTTTTGTGGGTTTTTGTTGTTGTTGTTATTGCTGGGTTTTTTTGTTTTTTGTTTTTTGACTTGGTTCTAAACTGTGTACCATTTATTTACTGGGCTGTTCCTATACACCAAAACATAGAAAAAAATAAAATTCAAACTGTATCAAACATCGGTAGGCCCAAATACAGGTGATGGTAGCATTATTACAAATATCAAACCCTAAATACCTACAGAGATAACATCACTGTCTTCTTCTCACTGGTTATACTTCTTTCCAACGAAAAAAAGTAGCCTTGCAAAATCTACATTCATGCTCTCTAAACATTTACTATGTACGTATATAACACCTCAGCAGGGTGGTAATCTCTGGCAGGGAAAAGATACTGTCTTTGGCTAGCCCCATAACAACTGGCAAATGCTAAACAGAGAGGAGATATCTACTGACTCGTACCGATGGATAAGAGCTGAAAATTCTACATGGGTGAATTCTACATTCTACACAGGGCAGAAGCCAGAGGGCAGCCTAGGGCATAGCAGTGATTTATTCTTTCATTCATTCACTTGTCATGCATCTATCCAACTATCCGCCAAATATTTACTGAGTGCTAGGGGCCCTACTGGCGCAGTGGTTAAGCGTCAGGCTGCTAACCAAAAGGTCAGCAGTTCGACTCTACCTGCCACTCCTTGGAAACCTGATGGAGCAGTTCTACTCTGTCCCGTAGGGTCACTATGAGTTGGAATCGACTCGAAGGCAATGCATTTTTTTAATATTTCCCAGAAGAAGCCCTGGTGGTGCAGTGGTTAAGTGCTCTGCTGTTAAACCAAATGCTGGCGGTCTGAACCCACCAACTGCTCCACAAGAGAAAGATGAGGCAGTCTGCCATAAAGATTTACAGCCTTGGAAACCCATGTGGCAATTCTACTCTGTCCTATAAGGTCACTACAAGTCGGAATCAACTCGATGGCAAAGGGTTTGGGTTTTTGGTTTGTTTTTTTGTACACGTCCCAGGCACTGTGATAGCTGCTGCAGATATAGGACTAATCTAGTCATTCCCATCCCTGCCCTCATGGAGCTTACAGTCTTGTGGAGGAGACAAACGTTAAGCAAATAACAATTTAACTTGTGGTGGGTGTGTATGGGAGCCCTGGTGGTACAACGGGTAAGAGCTCAGACTGCTCACCAAAAGGTCAACACTTCGAATCCACCAGCTGCTCCTTGGAAACCCTATGGGGCAGTTCTACTCTGTCCTGTAGAGTTGCTACGAGTCAGATCGACTTTGGTCTTTTTTTTGGTTTTAAGTGCTATACGGGCATTAACGCAATCTTGTTCTTGTTGTTGTGTGTTGCTGAGTCGATTCCAACTCACAGTAACCCTCCATGACAGAGTAGAGCTGCCCAGGGGGTTTCCAAGGCTGTAACCTTTACCAGAGCAGATCTCCAGGTCTTTGCTCTCACGGAGCTGCCGGGTGGGTTTGAACCGCCAACCCTTCAGTCAGCAGTGAAGAGCTTTACTGTTGTGCTACCAGGATTCCTTACACTAGGCACCTCCTAACCTATAATCTCATGTCTTAAAAATGTTTTTCCTTAAACAGCAGTACCTACAAAGCAATGCTCTAGCCCCTATATTTTTTCCAAAGTTTAACCTGAATCTACTGATGTTTAAATCTAATTTCTAATTTATTGGAAATGCAAAGGATAGAGGAATGAGTTAATGGACACCATAAGGAATGCGGGGCAGTGGGCTGGTCTCTTCAGGGGTTCCATGCGATGGAAGGAGAAAAGCAGAGAGTGGGATTCGGGGGAGGGGAAGTTATGATAAGATAAATGACAGCAGAGACACAACAGTGACAGCAGAGAGACAACAGTGACAGCAGAGA